ATTACGGATCCCATACTTATCCCATCTGTCTGAGTATAGTATTCTTCGTTGATTTCGAAGTAGTTACTTCTATACGTAAATTCTATTAATTCTATTATTTCTTTGTTGACGTCTAGGTTATTAAGCTTTTCTTCTATTAGATCCCAAGTTATTGATTGGTACATATCAACTATGTCGAGGCTTGCTATTCTATACTTTTCTTCTATATTAATTCTGTTTAGTTCTTTTATGAGTTCGTCTGCGTGGAAAACACAAATTTTTGTCAAACATTAGGGCCTCTATATTAAAGCCAAAGGAAGCCTCATTGGAGACTATTGACTATGTTCATTTTAAGACACAGTATTGTCATATTTTGTTGTTACAAATTCATTGTTGTAATTAATAAAGTCATGGTATAACAAATGGACAAGAAACCAACTTTTCTACACCCTGTACAAAAATTGCATAAAATATAGTAATTTTTTGCTTACAATGTAGATTTATTTGAATAAAAAGTATAATTAATCATCATCATGATTGAAAAATACTGTATTTTATAAACTATTGACACAACAAATCAATCATCTATTGTTTTTTAAAAGAAATTAATTAAATGTTTACTTTTTAATTTTTTCTGAAGATATTGCTGGAATGAAACATCCCAGTAAGAATGAAATATTTTATAAGCATGTTCCTCATTACATAAAAAAAAAGACATACACAAGTCCATCATACTGACTGGGTGAGATCAAAGCTGTAAGATAACTAGTTACTCTCAAATATTTCATAATAAAGAAACTTAACAATTTGTATCATTTGGCTTAGTTTAATTAGGCTTATATTAATTATTTTATCAACTGCTATTGATTTTTAATATATAAATAATTATATTACTTTAGAATTTCTGTAGAATAACATTACAAAATAGTCATTACACTGAGTATTTAAAAACAAAAAATTAATTAATTTTCCAAATTTGTTTAATCTAGAACACAAGATGAGAATTTTATGTTTTAATTTCAAATAATTTAAAAATTATTAGTTATAATGCTTTATGGTTTAAATAAAGTTAGAAATTTATAATTTATTAAAAAATTTCCAATTTTAATCTTTTTAACAAATTTTTATACAAAAGGAAAAAAAAATGTTATTGAACTTGCAGAACTAGTTTTAAGCAAAATAAAACAGAATGAATTTCTGAGGCTAAATTAAACATAGTTCAAAATTGCAGATTCTGTGTAATAATTTTTTCTATCATTTTATAAGCCAACAAGTTGAAAAAGAAGCATATTAATGGAGCCTAAAAATTAACAATCATTATGCAAGAATACAGAAAATTATTAGAAAAAAGGCTACATTCATGAACCAAAACAAGTTTTTATTCCTGAATTTAGCATTTTTTCCTAATAATTTTGATTATGGTAACACATACAAAAGTAAGAACTCTATATGGAGAAACTGAATGCTTTAAAATTGAGAAAGGGGTGCGACAAGGCTGCATTTTGTCTCCATATCTGTTTAACTTATATACTGAATATATCATGAGAATGGTTACTACAAATGAAGAATCCATTGGTATCAAGATTGGAGGNTCTCCTATGTAATGTTTTTTGTTTGCGCAGGTACACGGAATTTTGTATACTACACCTTGGTTTTCGATCGGTATTTGCTGGTTTTTCTTCTGGTTTGTGGTTAACAGTCTGCTTTCCATTTTTTGATATGATGGTGCTAATTTGTAGTTTATTTTTTCTATTTCTGCGCTGATGTGTTCATATAAACCTCTAATATATGGAAAGTTAATATATTTTGTTTTAGTTACTTGTTTATCTTTATTTTTACATAGGTTTCTGGGGTCTTTAATTCTGGTTTCCCATTGTTTTAGTAATCTTTGCGGAAATCCTGCTAAAAGAAACTTCTTCCTTAATTCCATTAATCTTCGTTTATATGTGCTTCTTGGCTTGTCCGGTTTATGATTTTGTCGTATTCCATTTTATATATATTATATTTAATGTATGACGGAATTTTTGATTGATATCTTGTTGTTACTTGGTTAGAGCTCGGTTTCTTGAATGTTCTATATTCCAGATGATGTTTTAATCTTGTTATTGTAATATCTAGGTAGTTAATGCTGTGTCTTGTTATATCTTCGGTCTCTATTTTAAATTTTATTGCTTTATGTATACTATTTGTCTGCTTGTGAATATCTTCTATTTTAATTTCTGTTTCGTCATATATTATTAAAATGTCGTCAACGTATCTTTTGTAGAATTTTATTCCTGGTATGTTACATATTATATTATCGATGTCTATCATAATTAATTCAGCAAGTTTTGGGCCGATTACGGATCCCATACTTATCCCATCTGTCTGAGTATAGTATTCTTCGTTGATTTCGAAGTAGTTACTTCTATACGTAAATTCTATTAATTCTATTATTTCTTTGTTGACGTCTAGGTTATTAAGCTTTTCTTCTATTAGATCCCAAGTTATTGATTGGTACATATCAACTATGTCGAGGCTTGCTATTCTATACTTTTCTTCTATATTAATTCTGTTTAGTTCTTTTATGAGTTCGTCTGCGTGGAAAACACAAATTTTTGTCAAACATTAGGGCCTCTATATTAAAGCCAAAGGAAGCCTCATTGGAGACTATTGACTATGTTCATTTTAAGACACAGTATTGTCATATTTTGTTGTTACAAATTCATTGTTGTAATTAATAAAGTCATGGTATAACAAATGGACAAGAAACCAACTTTTCTACACCCTGTACAAAAATTGCATAAAATATAGTAATTTTTTGCTTACAATGTAGATTTATTTGAATAAAAAGTATAATTAATCATCATCATGATTGAAAAATACTGTATTTTATAAACTATTGACACAACAAATCAATCATCTATTGTTTTTTAAAAGAAATTAATTAAATGTTTACTTTTTAATTTTTTCTGAAGATATTGCTGGAATGAAACATCCCAGTAAGAATGAAATATTTTATAAGCATGTTCCTCATTACATAAAAAAAAAGACATACACAAGTCCATCATACTGACTGGGTGAGATCAAAGCTGTAAGATAACTAGTTACTCTCAAATATTTCATAATAAAGAAACTTAACAATTTGTATCATTTGGCTTAGTTTAATTAGGCTTATATTAATTATTTTATCAACTGCTATTGATTTTTAATATATAAATAATTATATTACTTTAGAATTTCTGTAGAATAACATTACAAAATAGTCATTACACTGAGTATTTAAAAACAAAAAATTAATTAATTTTCCAAATTTGTTTAATCTAGAACACAAGATGAGAATTTTATGTTTTAATTTCAAATAATTTAAAAATTATTAGTTATAATGCTTTATGGTTTAAATAAAGTTAGAAATTTATAATTTATTAAAAAATTTCCAATTTTAATCTTTTTAACAAATTTTTATACAAAAGGAAAAAAAAATGTTATTGAACTTGCAGAACTAGTTTTAAGCAAAATAAAACAGAATGAATTTCTGAGGCTAAATTAAACATAGTTCAAAATTGCAGATTCTGTGTAATAATTTTTTCTATCATTTTATAAGCCAACAAGTTGAAAAAGAAGCATATTAATGGAGCCTAAAAATTAACAATCATTATGCAAGAATACAGAAAATTATTAGAAAAAAGGCTACATTCATGAACCAAAACAAGTTTTTATTCCTGAATTTAGCATTTTTTCCTAATAATTTTGATTATGGTAACACATACAAAAGTAAGAACTCTATATGGAGAAACTGAATGCTTTAAAATTGAGAAAGGGGTGCGACAAGGCTGCATTTTGTCTCCATATCTGTTTAACTTATATACTGAATATATCATGAGAATGGTTACTACAAATGAAGAATCCATTGGTATCAAGATTGGAGGCGAAACTATTAATAATATAAGATATGCAGATGATACCACCCTTTTGACAGAAAGCAAAGCAGATTTAGAAAAACTTATCATAAGGGTAAAAGAAGAAAGTGCTAAATTTGGTTTGAAGCTAAATGTAAAGAAAACTAAAGTAATGTCAACTAAAGAGTTAAAAGATTTCATTGTGGATGGTGAAAGAATTGAAGTGGTAGAAAGTTACATACTTTTGGGCTCAAAGATAGAAAGGAATGGAAGTTGTGAAGGAGAAATCAGGAGGAGAATTAATCTTGGCAGAACAGCCATGGCAAATCTCACCAAGATAATGAAAGATAAAGACATTTCCATTCATACTAAGAAAAGAATTGTAGAAGCAATGGTTTTCCCTGTAACATTATATGGCTGTGAAAGCTGGACTCTAAGGAAAAAGGAAAGAAAAATGATAGATGCATTCGAATTATGGGTATGGAGAAGATTACTTAGAGTTCCATGGACAGAAAAGAAAACAAATATCTCGATTTTAGAAAAAATTAAGCCAAGCTTCTCCTTAGAGTCAAGAATCTTAAAACAAAAATTGACCTACTTTGGACATGTGATGCGTAAAGAAGTTTCCCTAGAGAAGTCTATTATGCTGGGAAAAGTGGAAGGTAGGAGGAAGAGGGGAAGACAACGGATAAGATGGATGGAAGAAATCGAGAAAGTCACAGAAATGAAGCTGGAGGAACTACGAGAGACAACAAGGGACAAATCAAGATGGAGAAGACTTGTCCATGAAGTCACCAGGAGTCGAAGACGACTCGATGGAACTTAACAACAACAACACATACAAATGTTTTCTCTTTGAATACAGAGAATATATATTGAAGAATTAAAAAAAAGGAGTAAAAATTTAAAATATAATTCATATATTAAACTTTATATTATATAAATTAAATAAAAAGTATGGAGATAAAATATACAAAAAATTATAAACTATTTCAATGTAAATGAGATCAATTTTTATTTATTGAAATGAATTTATTTTGGATTTGTTACAATAATCTTCATAATATTTTGATATTTATTATTTATGAATAATGACAAAATTTTATTTTACTTTAAAATAGTATAAATAAAATCATAACTTACATCACATGTAGCCATGCTACTCTCAGCAAATCTTGCCACATGATTAATAACTGGTGTAAAATTGGTTGGTCCATATAACTGAACTTGATAAATGCAATTACGATAGGCATCAATTATTCCCTGAATACCTGATAATATCAATAAAATGTCAAATTCCATTCTTTGACAATAGAAAAAAATCATTTTTAAACTAACCTGCACAAAATGGATTACTATTATTGAAGTTAACAGCAAACTCGTGGGAAACTTGCCACGACGGTGGTATTTTTGCACCAAATCCCAAAGCAGGAAACATTTTATCGCTAAATATATTTTAAAACAAAGTGATAAAGTAATGTTTAATCAAGTTTAAATAATTGTGAAAATTTAAATTTAAATGTTATTAGCATTTCAATTTTGAATAAGAGAATGAAATAATGCATTTTATTTCTTGCTAAAAATATTTCATTTTACAACATTATTAATTATGAAAAAATATTTTAAAATCTTCATTTTTCAATATTGCACATTTGACAATTTCTTATAAATTTTTATTGTATATAAAAATTGCAAGATTTTAATTTTTAAAATTTCTATGAAATTCATGAAATTTTCATAAAACTTCACTGTCCTAATTATTGACTATTATTGATAATGTAAGTACTAAGTACTAACAAAATTTCTTATTTATCATTATTAAATTAATATATTTTATCAATTTAGTTATCAGAAAGTACATTTTCAATGTGAATAAATGGCTGTAAAAAGAAATAATTACAATTCAACTAATGTTCAACCCATTAAGAGCAAAGATATTTTAAAAAATTCAGCAATGACTTCTATATCTTTCCTGACTGCTTTGATCCAACATGAACAATGTCTTCCACTTCTGTTGATAACTCCACTAATTAAACATAACCCAAAAAATTTAAATTTCAACGAAAAGTAAGACCATAAAAAAAATGTTATCAGCCAAATAGTACTTTTATTATAACATCTAAAATGAAAATTTTTATTAAATGTATTTTTTGTTAATGTTTTGCTGTGTTTCTTATAAATAAAGACACTTTCAGTTTCAATCAAACAACATTTACTTGTAATTTATTAAAACAAAAGAATACACAGAGACTTGGCTCTGATTAACGTACACCTCTAGTCTCTTAACTCCGGTGCCAACTGACCACAGCGCTACGTCACATTTTCTCTGGTTTTTACTTACTAAATTAAATACTCCCAACACTCTCCCTTAAGCTAAAAACCAAAGAGAATGCAAATCTCTGAGCAACTATCCTTTCTAACCCACTCCGAACCTGCTTTTGATCTGCTCAAAGCTTTCTCTAGGCAGAGCTTTGGTTAGGATGTCTGCCAGTTGAATATTGCTTTGACAATATCTGATCTCAAATTCTCCTTCATGGAATTTTTCCCGAACAAAAGTAGTATCTAGTGTCCAAATGCTTTGTCCTCCTTGAGAATTCTGGATTTTTAGCTAGGCATATGACACTTTGGTTATCCACATGTAATATAGGTTTTATTGTGTGAAGCTTCGGAAGTGGGCCTAGAATTTGTGCAAAAAAGAAAAATTTTTTCTAATTTTTGTATAGAAGGAAATAATAATAATAATTATTATAATGTTGTAAAAAGAAACCACCAAACAAAAAAATGAATATTTTATGTCCATATAAGGACATACGGTATCTGTAGAAATTTCTAAGAAAAATTGAACTTCTCAGAATGAAACAATAGATGAATTTGAGTGCTTAGATCGAATATCTTCGATAGGAATCGAACTGTCAGTCGGTGTTGACTCACCCTGCAATCTGGGCTTCGATCTCATTACAATTCGTAACGAGGAGGGTACCAATTAGAGAGCGGTGGCAAATCAGCATCAACCTATCAGAATGTTTGATCTGGGACCGAGAGAAAACTTATAAAAACTGCGCGAAAAAAGCATGTGACGTTCTTGGTCCTTGGTGCTTGGATGTCTAGTTAGTGACTCCCCCACTTTGGTCATGTGTGTGCAGCATTAGGAAGTTAAGAAGGGATTCTACGTACCTCGGATAGCAAACAACATATGAAGGCGATGGCCAGCGAAGGAAATCCAGTATCAACACAGAAGCGCTCACCAGGGTCGACGAGTGACCATCAACCCATACAAGGATGCCCAGGATCAGAAGCCTGAGACCGAAGGATATTACATTGTTGGACTATTATATAATTGTTGCAACTGAGATACCAACATTTCAAAGTTTTGTAAGAAACTATTTTGATGTTATTAAACGAGTAAAAATGGAAAAACCTGTCTATGAGTTCTGTCATGCCCACACGACAGTGCTGACCGCTCAATTGTTGTGACACTTTCTCCCCAATCGGCAATCCTCACAATTGTGTGAGGCTCTGGACAGGTCCGAACCCTCACTAAAATTCGTGTTAAAATAATTGTTTTAGAGAAAAAAATATATAGTAGTTAGAGATGGATTTTTATTTTATGAAAATGCGACGCTAACTTTTAAACAATAGAAGAATGTAAGTCCGTCGACCATTTCCGGTTGGAGATCGAATTAAACTTTGATTTTGACTTCTCCCACGCCTCCAAAAGGTTTCGAATTGTCATCAGGTGACGAGGAGAGACCAATTGGAAAGCGGAATCGGAGGAAAACGAATAAAACCCCAGACATTCAAGGATGCGAGGGCTTCTTCTCCCAAAAGTTTCAAGTGATGGATCTATTGTTGTGTGTCTGTCTCACACCCATCTTCGTCTCCGTCTCCTGACCTCATCCATCAACAGAAGTCGACCGCATCATCCCGGAGTCGTCGAGACGTGATGGAATTGTTCATTCGCGGACAAGGGACACTCCTTCAAAATAGGACTATCTTGGAAAGGAGAGGAAGACCCAGAGACCGCAGCTGATGTAGAACTTCCAAGTTTGCGGAAATCTTGTAAGCTTCTTTCGTGTTTAATAAACGGTTGTGTTGTTTGTAAACGAGGCATCTATCTCTGAATCAACTGCTTCCACATGTTGTTGATTGTTACCGCTCGGCAGTCCAGACAGCAAGGGAGACGATGACAATACATATCACATATTATCGTTCATTGAGTTTTTTTTAATTTCTCTCCCCCCTCAGCCCCCACAATCACACTCGAGTCCCAGGCCGACAATTAGGCACTTGAATCAGAGAAGTTCTTTCGTTGATTCACTTGCAGTTATCAGTTCTGCTTTGGTTGAGGACAGTGAAATGGTAGCTTGCTTTTGGCTGTCCCAATGCACTGTTTCCCAGTACTTTAACTACATATCCAGTGGTGGATTTTCAATCATCTAGATCAGTGTTTCTCAAAGTGGGCAATAATGCCCCTTGTGGGCGATGAGTAAATCTAGGGGGAGCTGAAGGCAGAGTATTGAACGGTGACCAAAGGCAAAATTGGGGTCACTGAAAGCCATTCCCTTTCCTCTGTTAATTAATTAATTAATTAACAGAGGTTAATTAATTAACCCTTTCTGCCCATATCCCGAGTTAACTCGGGCTGCGCGTGCGAATCCACAGTCCATATCCAGAGATATCTCGGGCATGGACTTTAAGGAGCCACTAAAAAAAGCCTTGACTTATAACTTTTCCGAAAATGTATGGATCAGCATATATACATCGTTACCTATGATCTGTGCAAATTTCATGAATTATTTTTGCCACAAAAATATTTTATGACAATTTATTAATTAGGTAATTAACCGCACTATTGTTTTTTTATGGGAGTTTTTTAATCAAATTAATTAAATCGTTCTAAACTTCTATTTCACCAATTTGACTTCGGTAAAATTTTTTAAACGCTATTGGATATTTTTTATGACATCAGTAGATATTTTTGTGTGTTTTTGCTCAGTAGAATTTTTCTCCCACACCTTTTTTTTTTTCGGTTCCGTCGTAATTTAATAGCATAAAAATCGACAATATTGTGTTATATTTGAACAGATGCTGTAAGTTAGCTCCCCTCCTACTTTAAACCAATATTCCCCTGAAGTGTACATGAGAACTACCTGGGAAAGTGGACTCCAGCTGTTCTCAAGGTCAACCAGTTTGTAAACAATGTAGACTGCATGTGTGAAATTTTACACCTTGTTAAACAAAAGTATAACAATCCTTACAGCTACATTTTTCAAATAAAAGCATTTATTTTAAATTCAGGACTGTGGAGTCGCGTAAAAATCTACTGACTCCAACTCCGACTCTTCCTTACCATCTGACTCCGACTCATATACATAACAAGTTGGTAAGTAAAAGGGAGTCGGAGTCGGCGGATTTTTTGATGACTCCAACTCCGGCTAAAACACCAAAACTCCATGACTCCGACTCCACAGCCCTGTTTAAATTTTTATCTTTTTATATACTTTATTTGTAAAAACACTTTTTGGAGGGGTTTTTATTTCATGGGAATTATTTTCTGGAAATTTTTTTGGATGTCATATTCGTATTTAAGTAGAAATAATTATTTCATATAAAAAATAAACTTTTTGTGGATTTCTTAGTTGCATTTGAATTGGAACAAGGGTATCAAAGGAATTAAACTGATAAGAGGAAACATTGCATTTAATGGTTTCCAGATGTTGAGAACAATGTATGGTAAGGGCACAAAGTGTGAGATTCATAGAAAAGTTTTCCTAAGAATATTTCCAATCCTTTCTCACACAAGAGAAAATGGGTTAGGGGCGTTGAGTATTAGTTTATGGAACAAAGGGGGCAGTGGATTGAAAAAGTTTGGGAATCACTGATCTAGATCTCCCACATGATCAGAATCACAAAATACTTCAAGTAATTCACTTTTGTTGTCCATCAACACCAATCCATGGTTCACAGTTCCATTTAGATAGCAAAAAATATGTTTAACAGTAGTCCAATGTACTAGATGGGGAAACTCACAAAATTGACTTAATTTATTCACTGAGAAGGATAGATCAGGCCTGGTTTGTGTTGTGAGGTAAAGTAGTACATCAATTGCTTCTCTGTAGGGTACATGCACTTATTCTCATTTCTTTTTGTATATTTCTTTTCTTTCCATGGGTGTACTTATTGACTTGCAGTCACCCATATTGAATTTGTGTAGGATCCTTTCAATATACTGTAGTTAGTTTGTTTCAATATAATTTTGTCAGTTTTGATGTGTATTCAATTCCTAGAAAATGCTCAAGTGTTTCTTCTACTATTTCAAATTCTGACTTCAATTCCTCTAGAAGATTCCGTACTTCCTCTGCATCTTTACCTGCAATTAATCCATCATCCACATACAGTACTAACATAGTTAGACCTTTTTGTTCTTTTGATATACAAACAAGGG